TTATTTAAGTAAGGATGTTATCAGCGTATTTTTGGTAAATGGTTTCAGATAGAAAATAATGTTTAAAATAAAAAGAATGAATTGGACAATAAAAAAAGAGAACAGGATTGGACCAAGTTTTAGAGTGAGTTATAGGTGGCTCAATAAACTGATTTTAAGAACAGTTGATTTTTGAGTAGAATCTTGATTAAGATGAATGATTTGGTGAGAACATCAAAAAAAGTCAATAGGAAAGCCATTTAGGTCCCCTGTAAGAATTATTAGTGGTTTGTTGCTGATTGTGCAGCGAGTTATAGCTGGCTCAATAAGTTGTGCAAGCTGACAAGATGAATTGCACTGCTGACTGGGATATAGGCACATATTACTAGACTGGAGGATTATCCTCAGGGAAGGTATTTTGGGTATACATAAGCAATTGTTAGTTCAATTTCTTGTTTAGGCACTGAGTTATACGCATAGTTGGTCTAAAAGTTGCTATAATTTTATTTTTCTATTTTATCTGAATATTTTTTATTTATGAATATAATACTACCATTATGTTTGTGTAGTTGATATTCAAGTTCTCTTTTAATAGGTGATTCAGTCAGGGCTGACTCTATAGTGTAGCAAGTTTGCAAGATTTCTTAAGAGCTAAATTTTTATTAGCAACTTTTTTAAATTCTAACACAATGGGTTATTTGATATTTTTTTTGTATTAACACACTTGGAGAAACAACATCATTGGTGAGGTCTATAACTGTTAGGACCTCTGTGACATCTGCTACAGAAACTGATTAAGGGACACCAAATATTATATTTTTTTCATGCTTAGCTGTTTGCTTTAGTTCAACAAGGACTTGATATTAAGGTGGGCATTTGACAGCGGTAAGTTTTTGATAACTGGATAACCATTGGCATCAATTTTGTTAACCATAATAATTTGTATAATAAAAAAGAAAGTTTTATTAGGTTTGTGTTTGTATTGCTGTAATGGTGGAAGGGTTACCTCCCTGTATAACTGTGGATTACCTCCCAGTTAAGAAATATTCAGTATTTATTATTTACCTTATTAGCACAAACTATATATCCATTTATATGTATGTATATATATATATCCATTTATATGTATGTATATGCATTGTTAGATAAACATAATCAAGCCTGTAGGTGAAATTATTCTAGAGAATTTTTTTAGTAAACAAATTTATGAAAAGATGATTTTTTTTTTTTTAGTTTTGAAATTGCTTTTTTCAAAACTAAAAAAAAATCATCTTTAAATGATCAATCTAAAAAATTAACAATAAAGAAAAAAAAAAATTTTTATCGTTAATTTATTAGATTGATCATAGAACAAACGTCGATTAGAAATTATTAATTTATGAGTAATTTGCTAAGATTTTGCTAAAATGTTAAAAAAAAAAATGTTGATAGTTTTTTTTTTGTTTTTTTTTGACTGTTAAGAAGTTTAGAGGAAGACAGGAAATATTCAACCACTTAGCAGGTTTTTATTAATTTACAAATGATTTTCAACCACTTAGCAGGTTTTTATTAATTTACAAATGATTTTCAACCACTTAGCAGGTTTTTATTAATTTACAAATAATTTTCAACCACTTAGCAGGTTTTTATAATTTTTAAATGATTTTCAACCGCTTAGCAGGTTTTTATTAATTTACAAATGATTTTCAACCACTTAGCAGGTTTTTATTAATTTACAAATGATTATTTTGCCAAAAATGATTAAATTTTTTTATCTTTACAAGTAATCAACTAACACAAACAAATTAAAAAAATAATATATATATAAAATATTGATTTTTGTTAAATCTACCACTGTTTTAAAAGTAAGCCTCAAAGTGGTAGATTGTACTTCACCGCTGGGGTAGTTTCAACCACCTAGAGGGGTACTTTCGACCATATCAATGTTAATAAATTTATAAGCTTTCTTTTAAATGTTTTATTGTACAAATAAAAACTTTCAAAATAAAATGTCAAAACAAATAGAAGTAACTATTTTACAATAAGATTTGTGAAATAAAAATAATGTTGCCGTTCTTTCCATTTTTGCTGGAGTTGCAGATTTTAAAATTGCAACAATTTCTGATGTGTCCACTAAAGAAATATCATCAGCATCAGGGAAAATAAACGTTAAACTGTTTCTGTTGGTTCTTCATCCTCATAGTCAGTATTATTTGTATATTTACTTAAATACTTTAGTAATTCATTCTGATAGTCAGTATTATTTCCAGAGAATTGCTTGAAAATCTTTATAAATAATCTTGTTTAGTAAATGCTTTCAAAATATTTTTTATTCTACTTGTTAGTGTAGATCTTTTCACAGTGATTTTTGGAAATACCAATGATTGCTTCCTTTACCACATTTTCATTAATTTTATTTCTGTCTTCGTAAAATATTTTCGAGGTTTCTAAAAGAAAAAAGAAATAAATTAATGTGGTATTTTCAAGTACAGGTCGAAAATTTCACAGCTAGGTAGGTCGAATGTACACCACACGTGTTATGTATAAACAGTTGCTTTTAAAAGCTGAAATCAATTTTTTGATGTAAACTAAAAACAAAGGTTTTTAACTCAAGATATCAATAAATTTTAGGAGGTTGTTTGAAAAGAGATTCTCTGCGGATTTTTTAAAACATAAAATAATAACAGATTTTCTTCTATATAAGTACTAATGCTCACGAAGATAATTCGATACTTGTTTCCCGCAATAGCTTATCAACAGGCATAACGTACATAAAAACTTTAAGCAATAACATACATCAAATATTTTAATTCATAACTTGCAACAAAGAAACCATAACTAAGTATCAAAGACAGTCTCAAGCGAAAAAAATGGTTCAAGGAGAGAGCTGCTTGGGCTGTAGAGCAATGGAGACAAGTAATTTTATTGGATGAGTCAAATTTTGAATTTAATAATTGCAAGAAAAGGGTTGTCATGAGGAGATACAAAAATGAAAAATATAATCCTCGTTTCATTATATCAAGAGTTCAAGGAGGAGGAGGTTCAATTAGCATTTGATAATGCTCCTTACCACATATACGCTCAATTAAGTAATACATGAAGGAAAAACGGTTGAATCTAATGCCTTGGGCTGCTTGCTCACCTGATTTAAATCTTATTGAGAATATTTGGAGTTGGATGAACTGCAAATTACAAAAAAGCAAATATTCATTATAAAACATTTTTTTGTCATAATGGCTGAAGCATAATGTTTAATTTGTGTTTATTGTTTTATTGTCTTTGGAAAAGAATTAAAAAAGTTTATTGAAGTAACTCCTGCAATACAACTCCATATTCGAAATTTCTGGAAAATCTGGAAAGTTTTTTAGTGTGTCATTTAGTGTTTCTTTTCTTTATCACAGTCATTTTGGGCTTGATGTATATGCAGAGTGTATGTGGTGTATATGTAGGCTGGAGAAAGTGCTCATTATTACCACTGTCAAGTATGGAAGCAGTACAAGCGTTGTGTGGAACACAATGATTATGCAAAACAGCTTAAGAAAAGTGTAATTGAGTTATAAACAATATAAAGAAGCCATTTTCTCATTTAATTTTTTTTAATTATTAAATTGTAGTTATTTTTGTTAAATTTTCAATAAGAATCAAATAATTGATATTATTTTAAAAGTATTATTATTAGGAATTGCATTTCAATTGTTAAATTTTTTGTTAAATTTATTGCATTAATGTTGTATTGTAAACATTATTAATGATATTTTTAATATTTTATATTAACAATTTTTTAAATATTTTTTTAATTGTATATTAAAAATATTAAAAAAATTGTTTTAAAATTGTAATATCCTTTCAAATTTTTAAAAATGATCTTTTTTATAACAAAAATTATTAAATTTTGGAACTTTTATAAGAAAAGAAGATATTTTGACAGAGGAAATTTGCTCTGGAGGAAATATTCTGATATCTGTTACCTACCACCCACTCCCCATACATTACAATATAGGTTATAACTGTTTTTTATAAAAAAAATATGTTTAAAAGTTTGTTTCAGTTTTAAAAGTTGTTTTAAAACATTTTGCTAAACCCAATAATAATAATTAAACAAAAAAAAAAATTAGAGTAAACCAAACCAAACATGGCAGTCTTAAGAGAGCACAGTGTCTACAAAATACTCATACATTATGTAGACTTACAAACCAGACACTTCTAGTTTATATATAGGTTTTGTCTATACATACCTTAACAGTCAGTTGATCTATGTACTGTAGCACTTGTCTGTTCTTATTTTATATGATATCATCAGTTACTTTTACAAGTCTGTAGCATAAGTTATTTTTTGGAACTATGTATTTTATTATATTTATTAATACTTTATATTATTTTGCCATATTATGTATTATTGTTTATTTTCTAAAATGCATCTGAATTTTTTTTTTTAACATAAATGCATTTTTGTTTTTTACATAGAACAATAATAGTAATTATAACATAGTTTAGAAGATAGATTTGTTGCATTTAGATGATTTACTTAACAAAGTTGATTTTGTTTTAGAAATAAGAATATTGCATATTGCAGAGTTAGAGGAATGTTGTTTAGAATGTTGTTATACTTAAGAAAATCGCTTAGAATAGATTTTAATTGAAGAAGAAAAAACTTGAAGAAAAAAACATAAAAATATAAAAGTATAAACAATTTTGAAAAAAAAGTTGTATATTATGTTTTAACAATATGTAATATAAGTGTAATATGTTTATCATTTTGTTAACGTTTACTTGTTTATTTTTGTTAATGTTTTATTTACTTTTGTTGTTAATGTTTTTTTTTTATTGTTAATGTTTTATTTGTTTTTTTTTTGTTAATGTTTTATTTGTGTTTTTTTTTTATTGTTAATGTTTTATTTATTTTTATTATTGTTTTATTTGTTTATTTTTATTGTTAATGTTTTGTTTATTTTTATTATTAATGTTTTGTTTATTATTATTATTTTTTTTGCTAATTTTTTATTTGATTATTTTTATTGCTATACTTTTATTCTTTTTTTTAGTTTATGAAACCGCTCCGATTATCAATCCAATCATCCCAACCAATACTCACAGCTGCTGATTATAAATCTATTTTTGGTCAGACTGAAGAATTATATAAAATGCATAAAAAGTTCTTGAATGACCTTGAGCCTCGTATTGAAAACTGGAATGATAACTTATTAATTGGCGATTTATTTTTTATCATTGTAAGCTTTTTTTTTTTTAAATATTATTATTTTAAAAAGTATTTTATTTTTTTTAAATGAAAAAATTAAATAAGATAATATTTTTTAGATGGAAGGTTTCAAGCTTTATGCTTTGTATGTTGGCAACTATAGTCATGCCATGGAAACATTAAACAAATGTCGAAATGCTAACCAACAGTTTAAAGCCATATTGGAGAAGGTTGGTGCAAAAAATTTTATTTAGTTTCTAAATGGGGAGATTATGCTTTAAGTTAATAAAAATCTGGTCTAACCAATCACATTAGTGACTAAAGCTCACTGGTTGAATTTTATTTAGAAATATTTTATTATATTTCAAAAATAAATTAAAATAATAGGTAGATAGATAAAATATATTTATTCAACTCTCTAATAAACTATTAGAGAGTTGAAAAATATTCAAGAGATGAGAGTTTAGTATATAATTATTAAACTCTCATCTCTTGAATCTAATCACTATTCTTGATATCTCAAAAAAAAACAGGTTAGTTCCTTATTTGACATCATTATGGTTTTTATTGCTATATTATCATTAACAGCTTGTAGTCAGACAACTTTTACAGTGATGTAAAAGTGTTCTCTAGAACTCGTTTAAACAATATTTGAATATTTTCTAAATATAACAAATTAAAGAAACAAGTTAATAACTAAATCTTAGGGGTCCTCCAAAATTACGTCATGCTTTAGGGGGTAGGGGTGGGCAATTTTGTGACATTTTGTTACAAGGGGGAGGGAGGTCTTGATTTTATGATGCAATAGGTTTTTTTTTAGTTTCAAATCAAGAGAAAACTTTTTTTAATTAAAAAAGTATCTTACCAAACCAAAAAATTTCAAAAACTCTGTGACATAATTTATTGATGACCCCTTACCTTGAATGCTGAAAGATGGTATTATTATTTCTTTTGTTCTCACCCTTTCAACTATTCTCCAGTTGGTCTTCTTAATGTTATTAGCTATGTCTTTATATTTACTAACTTTAAATATCTTGAGAAATATATTTTTCATTATGGATTTCAATCTACTGCAGGTTTTTAACTGTAACAACAGAAAGGTTGGGTTGTGTAATCTACCTAGACATTAAATAGCTTAACGTTTAACATGCTGATCTTCTCCATAAGTTCTCTTCATAGTCTATCTGTAGATGTTTTCTTATATGTTGAATCTCATTATTTCAAATTTTTCTTGATGGACAACACTCTCCTTTTTCAGTTATTTCTGGGGTACTATACAGTTCCATCCTTGGTCTTGTGTTATTTCTCACGTATATTAATGTTTTTTGATGTGTTGTTTGCACCTCATGCTTTTTAATCTATGTAATATTTTCCTTTTGTTGCTATTTTTAAAAATTTTTCTTCTTCTATTTTAAAAAAGGTTGATCAAAATTGTTGTAAAATGCTAGCCCCAGTCCCTCTACAGGGAATCTTGGCACGGTAATTACATGTGTTAATAGGAATAAAAATAAGACAGTTTTTGCTACACGGACAACATCTAGATGTCCTTCCAGACATTTTGGAAGAGTTATGGGTAATTCTGTAATAAAGAAAAACAGCCTGAATAAAATTTATTTTAGCCCTCTTGTTTGTGGAGAATTTAAAAGCACCTTTAAATAATTATTAAAAATATTATTATTATTTTTTAAAATAATAATAATATTAATTATTATTTTAAATAAATCAGTTAACATTAATAATAATAATGATAATAATAATAATAATAATGATAATAATTTATTATTATATTTTTATTACAGAGTTTTGGTTATTTGTTTTATTAGGATTACACAGAAGAATATTTTTATAACAACAATTTAAAATTGTTGTTATAAAAATACTCTTTTATAAAAACCATGCACTATTAGTGATAAAGAAGTGTTGTTATCACTATTAAGAAGTGTTGTTATCACTATTAGTGATAAAGGAGTGTTGTTATCACTATTAGCGATAAAGAAGTGTTGGTACAAGCGTTTGTTATCACTATTAGTGATAAAGAAGTGTTGGTACAAGCGTTTGTTATCACTATTAGTGATAAATAAGTGTTGGTACAAGCGTTTGTTATCACTATTAGTGATAAAAAAGTGTGGGCCGTTTGAAATAATAGTCTTGAAAAAACATAAATATAATATAAATATATATAATATAAGGAGATTAAATCATATCATAAATGATCATAAATCGATGAAACAAATAATGAAAAAGCACAGAGTTTGTGATTATTATTACTTTTAGATTATGTATGTTTAAGAATGTTTCAAATTAAGGTGGACCTAAAACATTCTTGAGGGACACCACTTGAAAACTTTTCCTATCCTGATTCATACTCACCAATCATTACTTTCTGAGTTCAGTTTTTTAGTAAACCCCTTCTCTAATCCAATAATTTTGATTGAAATTTCTAAATAATAATAATTCAATAAAAATAATTATTTATTATCAACTGAGTAAAATTTTTATTTTATTCGGCCAATCGTTATCGTAATAATTTAGATCTTCCTATATTTATGAATGGTAATGTACTAGATGAGTCATCTACCATTCATCTTCTAGGATTAACTTTTACTTCTGATCTTTCTTTTAAACCCTATATCAAATCCATTGCAAAATTAGCATCTGCTAAGGTTGCATCTCTTTATCGAGCTCGACACTTTCTTACTCCAGATTCTATTCTCTATCTCTATAAATCTCAAATCCGTCCCTGTATGGAATACTGTTGCCACATCTGGGGCGGATCTTCTAATGATGCTCTTTCTCTTTTAGACAAGGTGCAAAAACGAATTGTAAACATAGTTGGACCTGCTCTGGCAGCCAATCTCCAACCTTTGTCACATCGTCATAATGTTGCTTCTCTTTCTCTTTTCTACAAATACTATAATGGGCACTGCTCTAAAGAGCTAGCGTCCCTTGTGCCATCTACTAAAATTCATTCTCGTGTTACTCGCCATTCAATTAAGTCTCATCCTTTTTCTGTGACTGTTCCTAAGTGCTTCAAAAACTCTTATTCTTCTAGTTTTTTTCCTCGAACATCAGTTCTTTGGAATTCGCTTCCTTCATCTTGCTTTCCTGATTCATATAATTTGCAATCTTTTAAGTCATCAGTCAATCGTTATCTTGCTCTACAGATTTAGTCTTTTCTCTTCCAGTAACTTCCAACTCTTATAGTGGTTGCTTGCAGCCTTGTTGGAAGTGAAGATGTTAAAAAAAAAAAAAAAAAAAAAAAGTTTTAGCAAAATATGAAAATCAAGTAACTATTTGTTTTTAACAAGTGATTCAATTTAGGGAGCTTCGATTTATTGACTTGTAAATTAATTTTTATTTTTACACATTTGTTTAAAAACTTCATTTAATGAACATATTAAAATAAATTAAAAACTATAATAAAGATCTCGTAGAAAAGAAAGATGAAAGAGAGAAAATTAAAACAATAACAAACATTTTATTCTTTAACTTTTTGTAGGAATTCTAAAGAAATTGTCAAACTTAAAGATAATTTAAAAGTATAATAAAAAACGAATGGATAAAAAAGTTGTTGTAGACTCAAGCAAAATAAGCAGTAGCAAAAGAAGTTGATTCAGAAAAATTTCTCATAATTAACATAATTAAAAAAATTTCTCATAATTAACAAAGAAATAATGAATTAAATAATGGTTTGGTGTTTTTTATGAAAATGTAAAGCTGAAAAAAAAAAGCTGAAAAAGTTCTTTTTGTCCCCTTGTTGGGGGTAATTTAGAAATTGTTGTTTTTAACACATTTGAAGGTTTTTGGATTAAAGTTCCTATTTTAGAGGTTAATCTTTTAAAAGGAAATCACAGGAATGTTTTCTACTTTTTTAAGTATGTGAAAATAAATAATGGAAAAGTATTTGTACAGATCAAAAATATATTTAAAATTAGAACTCTTGAACTAATTCGAAAAAATTATTTTTTTTATTTTAATTTTTAATTTTTGTAAAATTTTTTAGTTTTTTTTCCCTGCATTAATTCAAAAATATATTTATATATATTAAATAATCTAATTTATTGTTTACTATTAATTCTTTATTACATGTTTTTTAGCTGGGGGGACCCGTAAAATACGGGTCTTTACCGAACCGACCATTTTTATACTTATCTATAGCTATCCGGACGTAAACTAAGGGTCTTAGTAAATCTATTCCACACCGGCCTTTTCTATACTTATTCCTTACCTCAATATATTTTTAAAACCGTTTAAAAATGTACATATAAAAAACTATACTTACTTTTTGATGACAAAAACATTTCTGTTAAAATGTTCTTTTAAAAACTTCAAACGATTTTAATATTATGCCGATTATAAAAATTTTAATAAGAAAAAACGTAAAAAAGACTACGAACTTAAAACATTCAACACGTGACGCCGTTAAAGTACGCCTTAGTTAACGTTCATAACATATACACATCTAATAAGATTTTATTTAAATTCAGTTGTTGCAAACTTGGTTTTGAATTTTTAATTACACTTCTTATGCGTCATAAATAATCTTAAATTCTAAATAGAAAATACGTTTATGGGCTAATTGGTAGACGCGCAACACTTAGACAGATATAGTCATCTCACCTCGGGAGTTCATACTCCAGTGACCTTTTTTTTCATCCCAACTTACAACAAAAGTAATTAAAAATAAATGTTTTTGCTGCTTTTTGAAACTTAAATTACAATTATAAAATAAAATGAAAAAAAGACATCAAATGTAAATACTGGAAAGTTTTCATACTGTTTTAATAGACCAATAGAATAATTTATCGATGAAAACAAAGTTTCTTAGACCCGCAGTACTCCTACAACACCACACTAAAACAGTTTCTCTACCACATATAACATTTTCTATTATTCCTAACATAGTTGTTATTGGTGACTAAAATTAGAAGAGCATAAGATTTTTTTTTTTACTTAACAAAATAAGAGTTATAGATTTTTCTATAACTCTAACTAAAATGCTACTAAAGAACTCGGTTTCCAGTAAAACGTTTTTCAAAAATAAATAGAAAAAGCTTTGTTTTTTATTGTGGTGTTAAATCGAATGAAACAATAATTGTTTATGGATTAAGTAATAAAGGTCCGGTAACTTTATTTATCTAAGACAATTCGTAATTTATTTTTCTGCCATACACTAAAAAATATCGAAGTAAATGGTTGGTGTGAATTAGGTTTTTATGATGCCTAAGTA